AAGGGTGCAGTTTGTCCTGGAGTCTGAGTCTTCTCTTCCTGTGTTTACTTGACACTTCCCTGCCCTGCCCGGAAGGCTGTGCTGCGGGCGGCGTGCCTTCCGCAGGGCCTTGGACCTCCTGCCACCGCAGCTGCCTGTGGCCACCACAGCCAGAGTGCAGGGGCAAGCTGGCTGCCAGACTGTGAGTCTCCAGGCTGCTGTTTGCAGCCACTTGGGACCAGATGTGGGCTTTTTCTGCCGCAGAAGACTCTCTTGGCTCCATCACACTCCTCGAAAATTGTCCCACACTGGGTCGGGGCAGAACTTTCTTGGGGAGGTTGGCACCCCTGCTGAAATCCTCATGCGATGACCTGGTGAACTTTAGTGACCGCGCAGTTTGTTCTGGGCAACAGCCACCAGCCCACCCGTCATGCGGAGAGTTGGTGTGTCTAGCCTGAGACCGCTTCTCCTCTCTGCCCTGAGTGCTTCTCTGATGCAGCCTCTCAGGGCCCTTCCCCTGCAGGCACCGTGGTCATGGGACGTGACCCCGAGTGTAACTGGACGTGTGACTGTTGGCACAGGGAGCTAGTTGTCAATGAAGGAGGGGAGCAGAGGGAATCAGATATTAAGAAGCCTAATAAGCTGGGCAGCTGAATCCAATATTAGGCCCGCTTCACTAGGAAGCTACAGCTTCACACACGCCCCAGGGCACCATCAGTCTGCTCCCTGCAGACTACCTGGGGGAGGAGTAGAACAATAAAGGGGAAATTCTCCCGCCAGGCCAATGCCCAGCCGACCTAGCAAAGGGGAAGGTTTTTCTACTAGGAGGCCCAGGCAGTCGGAGCCCAGGTGGCAACCATAGAGGACTGTCCGCCTAGCCGGATAAGGACCGGATTGGATAAGGCACACAGAGGTCCGAAGATCTAGCAAATGGATTGCTTAGGGGGAGGGACCAGCAGAAGTCTGCAAAAGGTTGGGACTCTGATTGGTTAGCTTGAAAGAGCGCCTGGTCCTTCCCAAGTCCAAGACTCGTACCCCAGGAACACGCGCTCGCCCCGCTCATTCCCGCGGTGTCCTCCCTGTGTTCCCTCCCCAGAGCGGCGCCCCGGCCCAGCAACGCAGCACCGACCGGAGTGCAGGAGCGGACAGACTAGCGAACCAGATGCGGACGGACTGGGACTAAACCGCACTCAGCTTCGCAGGGCACCGAGCTTTTGGACGCTGGCCTTCGTCCTGGGCTTGATGAAGACAAGCGGGGAGGGACTTCTTTCTCCGCTGGGCGGACGCTGGGCTGACGGAGATGGGACGTCGGGAGCCTGGGCACGGCCATCCATTTCACCACGGTGAATCTTCCCACAGCCGCCCATGTGTGGGTCCCCAGAATGCGTTCCTTCTGACCCCACAAAAGAGCCTCATTTCCCCTCTCCTCCCCAGGCAGGTGTCAGCCCCCTTCGGGAGACCCTCCCTTCTCTGGATGTTTCCACGGCCCTGCCCAGCGCCACCCAGCACCCACATGACGACCACAGTAATAAAAATAGACTCGCCACATGCCGGTGGAGTCTAAGTCCTGCCCACGTTCATTAGTTGACGCCAGCCACCGACAGGCTGAGTGTGTGAGATATAATAATATTATCCTCTGTTCACAGGAGCCCCAGAGCAGGAGCTCACACCCAGCTGGAGGGGTGGGACAGGGAACCAGGGGCCAGGGACATTCCCACTGAGAAATGACATCCCAGTGGACCGGAAGGAAGGGAAAGAGCTCGCCATGCCAGTAGGGGTCAAGAATTCCAGACAGGGCACAGCAAGGCCAGCACCCTGAGGCTGGGAAGTACAACCGATGGGCAGTGCCAGGGTGGGGGGCTGAGGGCCAGTACCACACGGAGCCACCTCCCACCAGCCACCGCGCTCCCGGGCAGAGCCTCTCTGTGTGCCCACCCCCCCAACCAGAGGGCGTGGTAAGGGGGGCAGTATTCAGGACCATCATGTGGGTGCAGGGACCACTGCGGTAACATTCTAGCCTCTGGTGGGTGGCAGGGGCTCAATCAGTCACAGCAGGGGCAGGCAGGAATATACAGTATTGGGGTTCAGGACACGTTACCCCAGAGTATAGCAGCTGGGCATGTTGAGTGTTTTAATGAGTTTGAGAATCAGGTCATGAATCCCCCTTCCCTTCCCCCGAAAACAGGCCATCAAATCCTCATGGGAAAAGTGCCCCCAAAGGAAAGGAGCCACCTCGTGCCAAAGGCAGGGAAGAACCTGAGCAGACGGCCTGGTGAGGTGTCCCTGGGTTCACTGCACCGGCCTCACACCCCTTGGCTGTCTGTCTACTCCCCGTCAAACCAGCATGAAATACTCGGGTTGAACTGTTTCTTCCGGTCTTCAATTCTTCCATGTCCCGTAAAACTCATAAAATTAAATAAATCTGTATGCTTTTTTTCCTGATGATTCTCAGTTTGATTTTCAGGCCCAGCCAGGGACCCTGTGAGGTCAAGGAAGACTCTCCGTCCCCTACAAGAGCCGTGGAGCAGGTGGGGTCTAGTGGCTGGAAAGTCACTATGAGGAATGTCAGGGGTGAGGGGAGTCCCGGGCTCTTGCTGAAGGCAGGCCGGTGACCGCACACCCCTGGGCACGGTGAGTGGGGGTAGAGAAGCTGGTCAACTACTGGGGCGGAGGAGTTGTGGCTAAGCGGACTCAGCAGGGCTCTTGTTAAAACTGGATTTAACCAAGAAGGGCACGGACAGGCCTGACTGAAGGTGGGTCAAACAAGGAATCTTTGTCACCTGCCACCTACACTTGGTTGAGGCAGTCCTCTGGAATTGGGACCAGTGACAGGGCCTCAGGTCGGCCGGGTGAGGAAGTGGGGTGGGTGCTTGCTGAGGGCAAGGAGGCCAGGCGGGCAGAGGGAGGGGGGCAGGGGCCTCCTGTGTCCCAGGTCCCTGCATCAGCGGGCCCAGGAAACACTTCAGGAACCCTTCAGGTGGCCCTGTTTCTGCTGAAGCAGCTCCCCCACTCCGATTCCCACCCCCGCCCCCACCATGCAGGCCCAGGAGACCGAGGCCTCGATCAGCTCTGGTCCTGGGGCAGAAAGACAAGTCTCCACCACTCCTTGCAGGGTGCCTCTGCTAACTGTGGGCACTAGTTCCAAATTAGCAATGGCCCAGGGGTCCGGAGCCACTCCCTGCACCCCAGTGGGCCGACTCCCCCCCACACCTCGGAGCTGTGCCCCGAGCTGACCCTCTGCAGCAATGCCAAAAAAAGAGCTCACATCTCAAAAGGCTGAGACGCCTGCGGAGCCTTGGCTTTGAACAAACACAGCTGATGGCACACACACCTCCTCCCCCACCCGGAGGTTGGGGCTGGGCTGCCTTGAGTCCCGTGTTCGCACACCTGAGCAGCCTCCAGGAACCGTGGGGGACAGTGCCAGCCATTTGTGTAACATTACAACCACGGGCAGGCACTTTCTGAGAATCAGGGCAGGTCCTGGCTGTCTGGGGTAGTTCCCAGCTTGCAGCAGAAAGTGCCTTTGGTTGGCTCCTTTTAAACTGTAATTCACAGCGCCCACCAGCTGTGATCGCTCCAATTACAGGTTCAAAGATTTCTGGGCCAGGGAGAAACTTTCTGTCCTGGCCACCCACCCCATTCTGCTCCCACGCACAAGCCTAAAGCCCACACTGGAAGGGACAGCGAGGGGTTGGCTCCAGGAGACTGGCCCCCTCCTTCCTCCACGAGGTGGTCTTCAGCCCCCTCTCTGGGAGTGCGTGCCCCTCAAATTTTGCTCCCACAGTATCCCTGGTTGTAAGTCCGCGTTGCGCCAGGAAAATGCCAGCTCCCCAGACAGGTCTGGGCTTCGGTGAAAGCTGTGTCCTGGCCCTGACCCCAGTCCCAGGGCCCCATCTGCTCTCCCAGCAGCTCCAGGGTCAGAAGCCACAGCAGCCCAGGCCCTGCTCATCCTGTGCTCAGAGGGCCCAGAGGTGCTCTGAACTTGTGGAGGCGCCTGAGACCAGAGCATTGCCCTGGGGAGAGTTCTCCAGGGGGCAGGGCCCTCAGGGCAGATGCAGGGGGCACTGCACTGAGTACATACCCACCTAACAATCCTCTGGGGCCCTCTCTAACTTTGAGACAGCTAAACAGAGTGGGGGCCAAAAGATGAAGTCATCTGTCCAAGGTGGCCTGTCCAGTGACGGAGCCAGGACCAGGCCTGGCATCCTCTCTTCTGATGGCTCCTTCCCACTGGTCTACCCGGACACACGGCAGACCCCAGGTGCCCAGCACATACATGGACACACACACACCACACACATCACACATACCACACACTGGTACATCCCACACACAAAGGACATGCCACACACAGCACACTCACATGTCACACACTGACACAGTCACACACCACACACGACACAGTGACACTCATCGCATGCCACACACACCACACATCGCATGCCACACCACGCACATGACACACAACACACACTGACACACACCACACACCACGCAGAAACATGCACGGAGAGGGTGGGTTTGAAAGAACTCGCTGTCTTGTGTTCAAGACCAGCACAAGCGGTGTTGAAGGAAGAGCCAGGAGAGGTTTGCTGCTTCACCAGGCGCCCAGGACACACCCCGGGCTCAGGTTCTCTAAGGACATTCCCCAGCCCCGCAGGTCAATGAGGCCCGGGCAACCACCCCCCCCCCCCAGCAACGGCCGCGAATGCCGGGAGCCAGCCCAGCTCGCGCCGCTGCTCAGGCCCGCGTCCCCGTTGCCAACGGTCTCAGAAGCACAGGGGACCCGCGCGCACCCACCCCGCTGTGCCCTGCGCCTGCCGCGCTGCCCTCGAGCCGAGACCCCGGGCTCCAACCCGCACCCCAGAGCAGACCCTGCAGGACTTGGATCCTGCGCCCCGCCCTGCGCCCCGCCCCGCAGGCTCCCGACCCTGAGCCCCGCCTCTGCTCCGCCCCGGCGCGTGGCGCGTCACGGGAGCGCGGGGCGGGCCGCGGGGGGGGGGGGCGGGGAGAGAGGGGGCGAGGCGGAAGTTCCGCGGAGGGCTTCCCTGCCCGCTGCCCGCTTCCCACTGCCCGCTGTCCGGACCCTCCCCTTGGCTCTGTCCTGCTCTCTCCTGCCGCGCCAGACCCCGTGGGTCAGTGTCATGTGACTTCGGCTCCTGACCTCGAGCCTGGGCCGGGACCCCTAGGTGAAGAGGGACCTCGAGCCTGGGCCGGGACCCCTAGGTGAAGAGGAAATCTGCAGGTGTCCCAGTCCAGGAGGGTCTACAGAGAGTCATATCCCAGGCTACTGTTGGGGGTGTGGGGGGGTCTCTGGTTACCGAGTCCTTCGGGACTTTAGAAGGGGTACTGTCTGACTTGGGATTATTTGGGTCTGGGGGCTCCGGGTCAGAGCTTGCTGGAGCCAATTTCCCTTCCTTTCCGAAGGGTCTCCCGTGACAAGCCTATCTGTGCCGTGTGCCATGGTGGTGCTGTGGGCCCTCGGGCTGGCCTTGGCTGCAGGTCTGGCTGCCACCTGCCCACCGAACATCGTGCTGATCTTTGCGGATGACCTGGGCTACGGGGACCTGGGCTCCTACGGCCACCCCAGCTCCACCACCCCCAACCTGGACCAGCTGGCCACAGCGGGGCTACGGTTCACGGACTTCTACGTGCCCGTGTCCCTGTGCACGCCCTCCCGGTAAGCAAGGGGGCAGGGGAGACCTCCCCCAATACCCACCCTGACCACCCGGTGGGGGATCAGCCCTCTCCTGTCTCCTATGTGCCCCTCAGTCTTCGTTTCTGTTCTGCTCTGCAGGGCTGCCCTCTTGACCGGCAGACTCCCAGTTCGGTCGGGTCTGTACCCTGGAGTTTTGGAGCCTGGCTCCAAAGGGGGTCTGCCCCTGGAGGAGGTGACCCTGGCTGAGGTCCTGGCTTCCCGAGACTACCTCACGGGAATGGCTGGCAAGTGGCATCTTGGGGTGGGGCCTGAGGGGGCCTTTCTACCGCCCCATCAGGGCTTCCATCGATTCCTGGGCATCCCATACTCCCATGACCAGGTAGGAGCTGCACTTCCTGTCCTCGCCTTCTCTTGACCTCCCAGCCCTCCACCCCCAGCCCAGACCCTAAATGGAGCTGCCCCCCAGGGCCCTTGCCAGAACCTGACCTGCTTCCCACCGGCCACCCCCTGCGATGGCATCTGTGACCAGGGCCTGGTCCCGGTCCCACTGTTGGCCAACCTGTCTGTGGAGGCACAGCCTCCTTGGCTGCCTGGACTGGAGGCCCGCTATGTGGCTTTCGCCCGTGACCTCATGGCGGATGCCCAGCGCCAAGGCCGCCCATTCTTCCTGTACTACGCCTCCCACGTGAGTGACCCTGGCCCCACGCCCGGGCTGCCCTGACCCCTGCCCAGTGCTGACTCCAGTCTCTGCCCCCAGCACACCCACTACCCACAGTTCAGTGGGCAGAGCTCTGCTGGGCGCTCGGGCCGAGGGCCATTCGGGGACTCCCTAATGGAGCTGGATGCGGCTGTGGGCGCCCTGATGGCGGCCCTGCAGGACCTGGGGCTGCTTCGACAGACACTGGTCATCTTCACAGCAGACAACGGGTGCGCTGGAGCGCAGGTTGAGTCCTCACAGGGTGGTCTGGGGCCTCCCTGTCTCACTGCCAGCCACGGGCAGAGCGGGATGAGGGGTCTCAGAAAATGCTGTCCACACCACAGTGACTAACAGGTGCACGTGGGAGCTGGTCTTCGTAGTGCAGGGAGAGGACAGACACCTGTAGGTCGTCGCTGTGTGTGTGCCTTAGAAGTCAGGGGGCGGGCCACCAGGGCTGGCCTAAGAAGCTGATGGCCGCTGTGTGTCCCAGACCGGAGACCATGCGGATGTCCCACGGTGGCTGCTCCGGCCTCCTGCGGTGTGGAAAGGGAACCACCTTCGAGGGCGGTGTCCGAGAGCCTGCCTTGGCCTTCTGGCCAGGCCATATCACTCCTGGTCAGTCTCCAGGCCCTCTCCTCATGGAGCCCTGGTCCCACCCCCCAGCGCTAATGGTGGACCGAGTGACCACACAGCCTTCTGCCCCCAGGAGTGACCCATGAGCTGGCCAGCTCCCTGGACCTACTGCCCACTCTGGCAGCCCTGGCCGGGGCCCCACTGCCCAATGTCACCTTGGATGGTGTGGACCTCAGCCCCCTGCTGCTGGGCATAGGCAAGGTAGGGCCAGTGACCCCATGGCCCAGCCCGGCAGGGACTGTGGGCAGCTCACCTTTGCCATCCAAGTGCTGCTGCCTCTGGGGCTCCTGGGTGGGCACATTCAGGGGCCACTGCAGGCTGATCGGTGCTGGGGCCCCACCCCATGGTCCCTAACTTTGCCCCCAGAGCCCCCGGCAGACTATGGTCTTCTACCCAGCCTACCCCGATGAGGTTCGAGGGGTCTTTGCTGTGCGGAAGGGGAAGTACAAGGCCCACTTCTTCACCCAGGGTAACTGCCACCCCAACCCTGATGCCGCCTGGCCCCGAGGCCTGCCCCCCCACCTCCTTCCCCGTGCACAGACCTGCCCCTCTCCCCAGGCTCCACCCACAGTGACACTACCTCAGACCCCGCCTGCCACGCTTCCAGCCCTCTGACTTCCCACGAGCCCCCACTGCTCTTTGACCTGTCCGAGGACCCCGGTGAGAACTACAACCTTCTGAGGAATGGGGCTGAGGTCGCCCCCGAGGCCCTGGAGGCGGTGAAGCAGCTGCAGCTGCTCAAGGCCCAGTTTGATGCTGGCGTGACCTTTGGCCCCAGCCAGGTGGCCCTGGGCGAGGACCCTGCCCTGCAGATGTGCTGCAAGCCAGACTGTAGTCCCTGGCCGACCTGCTGCCACTGCCCAGAGCCCCCACCTTGAGGGCGCCAGCCCAGGCCTCACCCTCACATTGCAGGGGCTGGGGTGTGTGGACGGGGTTTGCCTGTGACCTAATAACACCAGCTGACACTTGTAGGTGTGACGATTCATCTGATCCTTGGGATGGCCAGAGGTAGGTGCTATTCTGCCTGTGCACAATGAGGAAACAGGCATGGGGTGACCCAGCAACGGGCCTGAGGTCACCCAGCCAGGGACAGGTGGGACTGGGAGCTGTACCCAGGCATTACGGCTCCGGTGACTACGAGTCGGTTCACGGGAGCTGCACCGGGTGACTGCCTGCACCTGTCATGGGGTGGGGAGGGTGTGAGGGCCCGTGGGCAGGAGACCCCGCAGGGGCCTCGCACCCTAGAGAGCCGGGGGCTGCGCAGGCACGGGTCAGGCAGCTCTGGCTCTCACCAGAAACCTGTCTGAGGCAGGTGATGAGCTGCACATTCTGGGAGGGTCCGGGGCCCGGGGCCTGCCAGACTCGGGGAGCTGCACAGCAGCCTCTAAGATACCCCCCCCCTGCCCGACCCCAGCCCCTGCCCCACACACACTTCCTGTCCCCTGGCTTCCCGTGACCCAGCTCAAGTCACTCACCCAGCAAAGTGCTCTGAAAAACATGTCCAGCTTGTCCCATCACCGCTCCGAACCGCAGGCTCAGGATAAAATCCAGGCTCCCTAGAGTGGCCACCATGCCCTCTGAGGCCTCCACTCTTCGCACCCCACACCCCTCAACCTACCTGAGCCCCATCTAGGGCTGTGCAGAGGGACCTCCTGACCACCTGCCCGGATCTGCACACGTGAGCCCCTGTGCATGTGCTGCTGATGGTGGACCAGGTGTGCTCCCAAGCACTCCCTGGTGTGGGCTGGATGAGACGGGCGCCATCTGGGTGCTCAAGGCCCTTCAGGGGCGGTCCTTGCCCTCCCTCATTCACTGGCCTTGCCCTCTCCATGGTGGGCAGAGGCCCTGCATCTTGAAGATGCAGCCTTGCCCGGTCCCAGGAGGCAGGGGCCCGCCACAGGGCCATGGCTGATCCAGACAGTCATGATGAGAGTCCTGATCGGTGCAAAGTCAGGTGCAAGTACTGCTGGGACTGGAGTCCTCTGGGGGCCATGCGGATGGTCCCCGGCATCCCTGGGGCTGACCAGACTTCATGCAGCTGCCAAGCCCGTGTCTCTAACCATCAGCCTCCAGAGCTCACAGTGTAAGAAATAAACCTGCTGTTTAAGCCACTGCCAGTGGGCTGCCTATTACTCACAGTGGGAAGAGCCTTCCCAGAGTGACCAGTGACTGGGACGTGTGGCAGGCACCTGCGCACAGGCAGGTGGGGTCTGCAGTGTCAGAGCCGTTGTCTCTGCTCTCCACATGGCTCCCACCACCGCTGGTCTGGTTTGGGGGATGCGCTGACCATGCCTCAAGGTCTGCCCACGGGATGTAGTGCCCTTGGGGACCCCGGCAGCCCGAGGCTGGTATCAGGAGGGCCACCTGCACGTGTGGTTGGGCAGAGGCACATGTCCTGATGCCTGCAGCTCCCTATCCCGTGGGGCCCACATCCCACCAGGTGCCTCGGTCTCAGGCAAAGCACAGTTTGTGCTTCAGGGGCACAATCTGTTCATCAGCTCCCAAGACTGAACACTCAGCGAGAACCAAAGGAGTGCCAACCTCCCGTGCAACCTGCAGGCACCTCTGCAGGTCTGCCCCCCCCTCCCCCAGCAGTGAGCAGCCCCTCATTAGTTCACGTGTTCGCTCACACCCAGGGCCACACGTGGTGCTGGGTCACAGGTCACCAGAGGCGGCCCATCCCTGCCCTGGGGTGCCCACTGTCCACAAAGCATTGGACGTGGGTGGGGCTCCAGGGAGTGAGGCCTGCAGTGTTTGTGGGCGGGGGTGTGGGCGGGGCCTGGGAAGGACCTCAGGGCCTCAGCATGTGTCCGATGTTCCCGTCTTGACTGGGGGGTACAGGTGAGTGTGTAAAGCAGTTGAGCTACACACTCAAGGCCTGTGCTCTTTATTATGCCGTGTGTGTATCTTACACTTCAATGAAAATGAAGAGTTAACGGTGATAAATACCACAGGGGAGGAAGACTTGGTCCTACGAGAGTGTCGCCCTTGGTGGGGGAAGGTCACTGACCCACGCAGGGCCCCCTTCCTGCTGAGGTTCTGAGACTCTGGCCCCTGCGTTCAAACCCATGTCGGCACCCAGGGCTGTGGTGGGACTCGGGTCCCCCCCCACATCACACTTGGGTTCGGTTGGGATGCCTTTGGGAACAGAAATGTGCGTTTATGGTTTCAGCTGCATTAGTGCAACGTACCCTCCTTGTACAGCCACTCGTATGCACACACATGCACATACATGTGCATACACACATTTATACACACTCATCACAGCCCCGCACACTGTCCCAGGTCCCGGGTCTTCCCTTTCCTGCTCTCTGCTGTTAATTTGAAAACCAGCCCCCTGTCCTGGGAGCCTAGGGCTGCCCTCTACCCAGGCCAGGGGGGCTGAGTGGGGACAGACAGACAAACATGTTGGTGCTGTGGGTCCCCCCAGGTGTGTTAGGAAGGGACCCAAAACACCCTCCTGGCCACCCCTACCTGCTCCTTCCCCGGTTGGCCTCTTCCCCAAGTGGCCAGAAGGGGGCGCAGAAGGGGACGTTTCCATGGAATAGTAGAGCTCTTGCCTCCTCGTTTTGCACTTTGGACGCTGCCTTTTCATGTCCCATGTCGCCTCCCTGCCCCGGGCCTGTGTAGGACCCGCAGTAACAGAGGGGACTACTCTGCAGGGTGGTCACAGCCGGGGGCCTTCCCAGGGAGGAGGGAGAGCGGAGCCTCTCTCCTCAGGTGTCTCAGTAGAAGGGGCCAAATGGGCAGAGGGTTGAGGGGTGTCACCTGAGTAGACGGGCAGTCAGGGCCGTGATGGAGGGAGCAGTCTGGGGGTGTCAGGGCCCCGGATTCCATAGCAAGAGTGGCAATGCTAGAGTTCGTTTCTTAATGAACAAGCAGCCACCCCCGGAGGGCAACCAGCTCTGTGTTGGGGACTACGGACCCCTGCCACTGGAGGGACAGAGGTGACCTGCCAAGCTCTAAGTGTGATGATGTCACTGACAGGTGCTCATGGGTGCAGAGGAGCCGCGGCTGGACTGGGTGGGTGCTGCAGGGCAGGGCGCGGGACGTCAGCCAGGCCGCACGACGGGTGTTGTGCCACCGCTGCGACACTGCCCCAGGCAGTGTGGGGGGCACATTCAAGGAGAGTCCCCGTGTCGCCCATCAACTCCTGTCCCACGTACGCCTCACCCCTGCACATGTCCGGTCCTGCCACACCTGCTAACCCGGCGAGGGGAAGGAGCCGGGAGCCCCGGCCTGCCCAGCACCAAGGCAGTGTGCCTTCTCATTCCCTCTTCACGGGGCGCCATTCACTTCCTCACCCCTCCTCTCCCCCGTGTGGGCACCTGGGGCCTCCGCTTGGTGGGTGGAGGGTCTTCTGCCAGGATCTCTGGTCATGGGCTGTGTTCTCTGTCCCTGTTCTGAGGACAGCAGCACTGCTACCCAGCCGGAAAGGCCCAGTAGCTGGGATGGTCTTCTGTGCTCCGCTGCAGCTCGCTGGGGGGCCCCGAGGGCCGCTGCTTCTCCCAGTGGGCCAAGTCCCCTTCCCGTCCTTCTGGCTGACGGCTCAGGGAGGAACTTGGCTTCCCCGAGGACGCCCAGCCTGAGGACTGCTTTCCTCCCTCTCCGCCTCACCCGCCGACAGCCCTGGCTGGGGCTCCACAGAACCGGCCGCCCGCCCCTCTGCCCGCACTCCCTCCCCCGGGAATGCACGGGGAGCCGGAGCCACAGCAGCGCTCACGGGGTGGTGAGAACAGAGGCTGCACACAGGGCCGGGACCCAGGCCAGCGGCCGCATCCCCTTCCACCCCTCCCGCTGCCCTGGTCCACCAGACTGGTCTTCCTGGGCTTTGCTCCTGCAGCTGAACGCTTTGCTTCCACACACGTTACGGGGTCCGTTGTTGAAATAGGTCCCCCGACAACCCACTCAAGCCGCGTTCCCATCTGGGGAACAGCCAGGGCATGCGCAGGCCAGTTCTACCTTATTAATTGTACTATCAGACCTGCTGTGTGTTGTGAAGTGTGGAGGTCACGATGCATTGCTGCCATTATGTTTCCTGTTTCTTGCCACTCAAACATGTTGGATCCTGTTTCTTGGTCTGTAGGCTCATAATTAGAGACTCTGTTGCCAAGACTATCATTTTTCTGATTTTTACTAAATGTTAGCAAGCTCACTTTTTCATATCTACCCAATATTTCAATTAAGTGAATATACCTTAATTCAGTTATTCTGGCTTGTCCAGATTAAATTACTTTTATGCTGTCCATATTTTTAGACAAGAATATGTACAAAGATTTTCATTTAGAGATAGGGGGTTCTGGAAGTCGAAATCCTGTCGGGGAGCCTTGCTCGCTCATCCCCCAAGATCCCGAGGCCTCGACAGGCACCCCAGACAGGGCAAGGCTCCCCCGGGGGCCCTGGACTCAGTCAGCAGCCTCTGCAGGGGAGCAGGCAGGAGTGGCGCCTCGCCCTCCTCCAGGGACCAGGACAGGAGGTGGCCTGGCCAGGGGCCAGACACCCCTGGGAAGCGCAGATGCTCTGGGCAGAAATGGGGTGGGAGATAGAGGGGGCTGCAGAGGGGGCAGCACAGGCTGGGCGGAGGTTCAGCCGGGCCCACTGCAGGCTTGGGAGGGAGAGTGGCCTGCTCAGGTTTCTGTTGAAAAACCCAGGTTGGTTGTAAGCGAAGGTGGATGTGTGGACACAGGTGGAGGCAGGGGGCTGGAGGAAAGGCCAGGTGGTTTGATCCAGGCAGAGTTCGGGGGAGGGGCAATTTGGGGCATCCAGTGAGGGTGGCGACAGCAGGGGCATGTGCGGTGACTCCAGGAGAAACATACAACGCAGGAGACAACGCAGGAGACAGCAGAAGGGAAGGCTTGTGTGAGTGTCGGTGCCCGGCGGTTCGGGCCCTCGGCACCATCACCTGTACAGGACGCGGTAACGCACCAGCCCGGAGACTGGCCGGGGGTGCCCTGCAGGTCAGCTGGGGTTG